GAGATCGAGAAGAGAGACCGAGAGTGAAAAGAGAAGACGTTGTGAGAAGAAGAGGTCGTCGAAGACTGTTGAACTAAGTCTCAGATTCAGACCTAACTTAGTAAGCAGCCCAAAAAATAAGGCCCATGGAATAAAAAAAAGCCCAAATTTTAACCCTTATAAAATCGGAATATCGGACCGATTTTATCCTCAAAATATCGCTAAAATATCGCTAAATATCGCCGATAATATCGTTCCCGATATTTTGACCGATATTTAAGGTCCGATTTTTTTTAGGAACGATATCCGATATATCGCCGATATATCGTGATTTTGACAGCATAGATTAGCTGTGATACAAATAAAAGATGTTGTGTAATTAGCAATATATATAATTATTGTGTAGGAACAGTTCTTCTGTACCGATTGGTTCCTCAAGGTGATTTTTCACAATAAGACCAATAATATAACTCTTTCTAATTGCCAAAAATGTAATAGTGTATCATATGCAAAAACTTCGGATATAGATACTCTTGCTAACAGCCTAACAGTATCAGTAGGCTACAGAGATAGATCACCAAAATTGGTATAAAATTGGACGCAATAGATTCAACAGATGTTCATTTCCATTAACCCTACCTAGCATGCTAAAAGGAAGCAAAACCCTAAAACAGAAACCATCACTTGAAAAGAAAACATTTATGGATTAAACCCTAGTTTTTGCATGACCAACAAGTAACATCAACATACAACCCAAACAATACAATAATCATATTTCACCTAGGTGAATTGAACTCTTAACATAAATTGCAACAATTAGGCTTGGTGAATCAAGAAACTGCAAGTGGAGTAGAGCTCAATACCATAAATATCAGAAATAAGAAGAACAGCGATTTTGGAATCAGGGTTCCCGGAAACATAGGAATTGAGGGAAGCAATCTGCTGGATGTCGCCGGATTCAACGCCTGAAGCGGGTGCAGGAGGGTTTTCGCAGCACTCCGGGCCTGACATTGCGGTTAGTATAGTAGCTTCTGGGGTACGTTTTCTGGTCAACCCAACAAGAGCTTTTGGAAAGGAAGGGATAGGAAACCTATTGCACTCCAGGACCCTCGGGTTACTAACAGCACCTTCAATCAATATATATATATATATATATATATATATATATATATATTATATATTATATATATAGAGGAGCGTTCAAATGAAAACCCTCTCCATTTGTGTAAACCGTGTAAACCAATCTCAACCATCCATTTTCTTGATCAATGGTCAATATTTGTATGCTTTATTTATGGAAATTAAAAAAATATAAAAAATAAAAATTCAGTTTATTTCATCAATAAGGGTAGAACGGTAAACAATCATTAACATTCATACTATGGAAATGTTTATTGAAATAAAAATTCAGTTTATTTCACTATGGAAATGTTTAATTATACAATTGTTTGTTTCCTTATTCCAGACTTTTTTGTACATGTTAATGCAATTGTTTCATGACACTTTATGCATACTACATGTTATGAATGA